AATTTGTTGACAAAGTGATAATGAATCATAATATGATATTATATACGGGGTGTTCCATTTGAAAAATCAAAGAAGCCGCTACTTTATAGTAGAAGCGACAACGCCGCTTCGTCTGAAATATTTTAGGCGTGTAGGTTATATTGATTTATGCATACTGTGAAATTTTCAGGTTGATCAGTTGAATAGTGTGTCAGAAACGGCTAATTAACGCTCATCATGAAAAGCCCTGTATACAGTTATTCATTTAATGAGTGAGGACATGGAGTGCTCGCCCAGATTGACTTTCAGTTACGTAGTTAACTACACATTTTCAACAAGTCTGATGTAATCAGAATATCGAGAAAGTCAAGGTAGGGGTTAATATATACAGAATTTGGAGTACCAATTGTTTAAAGTCGTTTATCCCGAAAACACGTTCTGGTCGAGAATTCTATTAATATATTAATATCTTTGGTTGATAATTTGAAAAATCGAACATTCAAATCTGATGAAAACCGAGGTTTATCGATTTTATAATAACATACTATTCTGTTCTAAAAATAAGGTGAATTTTCATTTTTCTCAAAAATATTTATATATTCATCGATTTCTATTTTGTCCTCTTCAAAGTACTCCCTCTCAGATATAATACACTTGTGCCAGCGTTTTTTTTCAATCCTCGAAGCAGTTCTGATGTGCACTTTTTTGTATGTCTTCGAGCTTTCTCAGCGATTCGGTTTAAAACTCCTCAATCGCGAAACGCCGTCCTTTCATGAGTCTCTTCAACCTTGGGAATAGAAAAAAGTCGCAGGGTGTCGAATCTGGTAAATACAGTGGCTGAGGCATGATCATGGTGTTGTTTTTGTATGAATTGCTTGCCCATAACACTGAAAGTTTTCTATGCATTGCTTCTATGCATAACTTCAAGATGATATACTTCTTATCGACCGTACGAATGTGGCAAGAACTCTTGTTGCACTACGCCACGGTAATCGAAGAAAACAGTGAGCAAAACATTGACATTGGATCGAACTTGGCCTACTTTTTTTGTCTTTGCTCTCCTCGACTCTTCCATTGAGACGATTGGAATTTGGTTTCGATGACCCTTTTGAGTAGATTTGGTTCGCCTTTGAGGTCATTCAACAATTCCAGCAAGGGTTTTTTGGTCAAAATTCAGCAATTTCGTAACGAACTTCGCTGCCACACGCTTCATACCCAAAATTTCCGAAAACATTGCGTGGCATGAGCCAATCGATATGCCGACATACCCAGCAACTTCTCTAACTCGACAATATGACAATTCTCCATGACAATTTTCTTCTGTGAAGAGCTTGTACCATTTGTAAACTTTTTTCTGACTCAGAGTACAATCATAATATGTCACTGTCAATATTCCGAGTGTTTTTGAGCACCAAATTCCAGTTTTCACACATAATTTGATGCAAATTCTTCGAATCATTGTGAACATATATTCAAGACGGGTGTACCAACATAAAAAAATAAAAGAATCGCTAATCGAATGTACGCCGCCTGCGAAATATAAACATTCAACTCAGCTTTTGAACAGTCCATACATATTTGAAAATCTATCGCTTTCGATAAAAAATGAAAAGACGTAAAAATAACTGTTGATATTGAAAATTTACATATGCTTTTGCTTCCGTGAAATCTCAGTATGAAAGTCCGGCTATTTCTCAAGTTCAGCCTCCCATTTAGTCAGGTTTTTTCCCCCTACGGAGACCTTCCCAACAAAATCACTTTCGCCTGATACAAGAACGTTCTTTCCTTCGTACAAATCCGTTACAGACGTCCTTTTTGATGTGAGGAGTTCAAATTCATTATTGCATTGTCATACATACAATAAATTGGACAATGATTCGTAAAAATGGCTTTGAATGTGGATTTTGCCAGCGGCGTGCGATTAATATTACTGAAGGTACTTTTGGAATACGCAATCAAATCAAATCAAATCAGGTTCATGGCCTTGTTGCGATCTCAAAGTAACTTTTTATTATTATTATTATTTATTATTACATATAAATAAAGGTTGAGGACAAAGTCCTATGTAAGCCTAAAAACGAAGGATATCAACAAGTTAATACAATGCATGCAAAAAGAAAAGAAAAACAATTAATATATGCATAGAGCCGATTAAGCAAATAAGCAAATGTGTATTTTGTTTTTGAAACTGTTCACTGAGTCGGAATTCATAACATCGTTGGGTAAGTTATTCCATGTTTCGAAAATACGATTCACCAAAAAATATTGTCTCTGCCTCGTTGCGAATTTTTCCTTTTTTAGTTTGAATGTGTGACCACGAAACCGCGAATCATTGTTGAAAACAAAAAGTTCTTTCTGATTAGCATAGTTATACTTAGCTATACGGAAAGATATGATGAGGTCACCACGGGGTCGACGTTGGTCAAACGCTAGCAGTTGTGCCATCCTCAGTCTTTCGGGATAGGTTGGACGCACTTCACCAAAAGTCATACGTGTGACTCGACGCTGTACATTTTCCAACAAGTCCCTATCGCGCACCAGAACAGGACACCACACTGGACCTGCAAAGCTCCATGATTGGACGAACGTAGGTTTTGTTTTATGGAACTTGAATATGATAGATGGAGGAACGTTTTGCGGATGAGGTATATCAGTGTGTTTGCGCGTTTGCATGTGGATATTTTATGTTCGGACCAAGTTAAGCCGGTATTAATAGTCACTCCCAAGTCTACATGTGAGGACACTGTTTAGTATCATCGGCATAGAACGACTTGCTGGACTTTATGTGAAGAGCAAGATCACTTGCATAAACAACGAAGAGGAGCGGGCCAAGAACAGATCCCTGGGGAACTCCACTTGTGACTTGTCTGTGCGAAGAAAAAGAGTGACCCACTTTGAACCAGACAGTTCTATACGGTCATGTAATTATTTTCAGTAACCACTAAGCAGGTTCTATTATGTAAGAACGTTTCCATTTGAAATATTCTTTCCTTACTCATTAAAGGCAGGTGTCTCGTTTACATTCATTTCGATCCCTTTTTATTATTGTACTATCAAAGCTACAAATCTCTCGATTTATTGTTACAGGCTCGGGAGCTAGCGATGAAGCGAGAAGTGAGGATAATATTCGACAAGCAGACGATTCCAACAGCTGCACCAGTCTTGGAAAGAGTAACTCCTCAGCTCGAATGTCATCATCAAACCTTAGGAAGATCATACTCCATAGCGTAGTATATTCAGAATGAAGTTATTTGTGTGAAACATTTGAATGAGTGTACAATCTGTCAGGACACGAAAAAGATATTATTGTTGTTTGTTGTGGCGCCAGCTACAGGGATATAGAAAATTTCTTCTATTGTCCGGTGACACTGATGGAGAAATAGAAAATGATTGACTTCAACAATTTGAAATTTGACAAAAAGCGGATCACTTGGTAGAAGCAAATATATTCCTAAAATTTCAAACGCGGAGAAAATATTTCATATAATTTTCATATCTGGCACGTGTGAGAAATATACAATTTTTTCGAATACATTAAACGAATTTCTTTCACCCAAGTCACCAATCGAAAAAAAGTTTTGTCTCCACTTTTATGAGTCTACTTTAAACTGTATACATCTCGGTGAATATTCACTCAATTTAATCAATCGTTGCACTTTTGTCAACATAACACAACTCGATTAATTCCGTCAGCATGAACATTGTCTGCTCGGGAATCGATGAAGTCGACGAGGCCGTTTCTGCCTAGTCCTGATTGGCGAATGTTCTACTGGTGAAAAAGTTATCCAAGTACTTGAAAACATGATATTCGGTTAGCGAGAGGTCTGGGAAGTATGGTGGTTGAGGCGAAACTTCTAAGCTCAATTCTTTCAATTTTTGGACATTGATTTGTGGCACTGGCGGACGAGTGTTGTCGTTTAGCGGAATCGGAGCTCCTCTGTTGACCAGTGCTGGCTGTTGCTGACGCAATTTCCGGTACATTTCATTGATTTTCTCACAATAGGAATAGTTTGGCCCGGTTGCAGAAAGTTATATCGAATCACATTTCAAACCATCACGTTTCAAACCACCGCTGCCAAAACCACTTTTTTGAGTTGTTTTGGCAGCGTTTTGGTTCAATTTGAATTCATAGAGAAAAACTGGCCGAAAATCGTTCATGAATCTCAAATTCGAAGTTGAGTGTTGTTTTGTTTGGAAAAAACTGTAGAATCTGATTTGTCATTGAGAAAAATCAGTAACAAACAACACCAATGGTATGAAAACTAGAACTGTAACATCCGGCGTAGATCAAAACTGAAACAAGCACCGCTCTAAACAGTTATCTCACTAGAGGCCGTCAATTAATCGAGTCAAGCATAAAGAGACTGCAAAAGTCCAGTAGAAACTCTCTCGGTGTAAACATCTACAATATACTATCAACATTTGTATAAAACATGAACCCCCAAAACTTTAAAAAATATTTGAAAGACTTTCTGTACTTTCTGATCATTTCCATATTGATTTCAATTTAAGAGCCACCGGTAGACAGCTGTTTCAGCCTATTGGGCATCGTCAGTACCGGGCAGGCGGTCCTCGATTGAAGACAAAATGTGAAAAACCAGAAAAGTACTTGATAAAAATAGCTGCGTAAACGCAAGTGAAACATAAGTAGAACCATCTATTGGTGTGACACCCAAGTCAACTTGCCAAGTTTTTATGTCAGTGTTGGTGGTTTGACCAATCTGCTACCGACGTTTCGCCATTATCTCAGATGGCATTATCAAGACGAGTTACTGCTTCGCTTCGAGAGGTGTAACACCTCTATATACTACCATCATTAAAAAACATGAACCCCCAAAAAATTAGAAAATGGAAGCTGGCTATTCTACAAAAGAATATATGACTGCCCTCACTGCAATCACTCTTTTAACATGTATCCCTGTTCCTTGATTTGGTAAAATCAAAAATGAAACAATTCGTGGAAACAACACTCCAAAAAGGGGGGCAAACCGCGGACACGTGTTTCTGGCTATTGGCCTCATCAGCGCGGTGCAGCCAAGTGTAAAGATGAGCAACACTTGTTTGCCGAAAGCAAACAAGTGCAGCGAAGCGCAAGTGTACTCTTATAACATTATATTTTCAATATTTCGACAATGGTTATTGTCATCATCAGGGAGCTAAGATGGTAGACTTTGAATTAATACAGAACTTAAGTTAATCAATGAATACTTACAATGTTAGTGAGATTGGTCACAATTGAGTTGAGTTGAAATTAAAATCTGAACGTTGTTATCATGATAAAATCAAGTAACAACTGTACATATACAAGACATATGAATTAAATGAAAGCTACAATATATATACGTTAAATAAGGAGTAATCATAAAATTTTTTATTTGAGAATGAACGTGGTGATCTTAGGTTAGAAACACATCACTTGTCAATTTATTAAAATTTTCAAGAAGAAGTAGACTTGGCATTTTCTGCTGGTGCAATCAATCAAAGAGTTACAGTTGCTTTCAGAAGAAAGAGTTTTGTTAAGAGTGATTGTAGACTTCATCCAGAAAGGTGTGCCCTTAGTGAACATGTAGTGGACATGTAATGGATTTTAACTCAGTAAAAATCTTGATTGAAGAGAGGAATATTTCTAAAAGATTATTCCGTGAAATGACTTACATTTCGCAATCACGAAATTGTCTAAATAAAAAAACTGACTTACAACATCTATGTGAAATATATTCCTATTTACTTTTTATTGACAAAAATTGGAATTCCTTCAAAGACAACTCATTTGACATTACTTAAATTCATTTATCAACTTATATACAACTTATATCAACTTATCAACGTTCATATTTTAATTTTAACTCAACATTTCAACCCATTTTAACTCATTTATTAACTTAAGTTCTGTATTAATTCAAAGTCTATCATCTTAGCTCCCTGATGATGACAATAACCATTGTCGAAATATTGGAAATATAATGTTATAAGAGTACACTTGCACTTCGCTGCTATCCCAAATAACTCCAAGGATTTGTTCGTAACTAGCTCAAGCATAAAATGCTTGAGAAAGCTACTGTATAGCGAAACACGTTCCATGGTTTTTGTAAAACCCTTTATAGTAAAAATCGTACAATGAACTGTATTAATTAGTTTTTTTTTCAAAAATACCTTCATTGATATCAATCGCACGCCGCTACCAAAATCCATATTCAAAGCCATTTTTACAAATCATTCTTCAATGTGTTCTCTGCCGTCCTACAAAATTAGTGGCAGTGCGGTAATGAACTTGAACTGTTTACATCAGGAATGACGTCTGTAGCGGATTTTTACGAAGGAAAGAACGTCCTTGTAACAGGCGGTAGTGGCTTTATTGGGAAAGTTTTTATCGAAAAACTCCTCAGGTGCTGCCCTGAAGTGGGTAACATTTACATTCTTTTAAGGAGCAAGAAGGGAAAAAGCATACAGGAGCGGTTATCCCAGATCAAGGATTTGCCGGTAAGTAGACTTCTTCAGCAATGTTTCGATTCTGAGTCAAGTTTTTCTCAAGATATTCGACGTTCTCAAGAAAAGCAATTCAGCAGCACTGAACAAACTCATACCGATCAATGGAGATGGAGCCGAGCTACAATTGGGTGAGTGAAATGTACAGGGTGTTGCGGGGAAAGGGTACGTGCGAATTTAGAAACATTCATTGATATACAGTGTGACCCATTTTTAATGGAAACACCCCCCTAAAATTTGAAGTTGTGAACCGATTTTAATATTTTCTTTTTGGAATGTCAAGTACTAAAAGGTCTACCTTGGGACAAAATTTGAAATGTTTATTAAAGTTTCAGGGCATACTACGATATTTTTTCTTAGTCGAAAATCGGGATTTTTCATTAGCGATTTTTTTTATTGAAAAAATCACTACGCCACTGGATTCAGAGTGCCTCCAAACAGGTGTGATCAAAATTTCATGAAAAAATATTTTTTTTTTTTTCATCTGGCGGCACTTTATTGTTGAAATCATAAAAAAATGATATATTGTGACTGTTAGCTGTGTGAGTTTTCGAATTTTTGAGTTGTCATAACTTTGTTAATAATGAATATTTTTTCATGAAATTTTGGTCACACCTATTTAGAGGAACTCTGAATCCAGTGGCGTAGTGATTTTTTCAATAAAAAAATCGCTAATAAAAAATCCCGATTTTCGACTAAGAAAAAATATTGTAGTATGCCCTGATACTTCAAAAAACATTTCAAATTTTGTCCCAAGGTAGACCTTTCAGTACTTGACATTAGAAAAAAAATTAATAATATCGATTTACAACTTCAAATTTTAGGGGGGTGTTTCCATTAAAAATGGGCCACACTGTATATTCACAAATTTTAGTGATACTCATTGTGGACGAAAGAAAAGAAGTGAATTGTGGGAGTATTGAGTATTTCAACAAAGAACTGTGCCTAAGCAAACTTGAAAACTGAAAATCAAATTATCTACGAGAACAATTCGTTCAGGCCAGTTAAACTCACATTCACTGTAGGTTAATGGACTGACACATATCAGAAAACAACTACTACGCTGGCTAATACTGTCAAATATAGACAATCGTCATAAAATAATTCATAGATATTGATTTAAGCAAATTCACGAATTGAAAGATGTGTCAACCTCAACTTCAATATTCTGAAACAGAAACACTCAGTATTCACAATTCCATCTTTCAACATTCCAAGCTCATAGACATCAAAATGGATGCGATTACAGGATACTGAAATATGAAACAATCTGTAAATACGCAAATTTGGACGGATGCTAATTAAGCATTTTGCCTTAGTAAGGTGACCGGAGCAAAGTTGCAACTTCAGCATATAAATCTTTATAAATATCAAAAGAGGTCAAGTGCATCGACGAATATTAAGAAATTCACTCAGTATTCATTAATCGCTGTTCAGTAGCACAGCTCCTTCTTGTCGATCATGCTGGGTAGCAGTATATTGTGAGTTTTTGGTAATTCATTGTATTTTTCTCTTAAATATTCAATATATGAATATTGAAAGAACATTCGAACGAACTTGGCGTACATTTTTTGGTCTGAGCTCTTTCATTGAAAGGATTGGACTCTGGTTTCGATGTCAAAACCCAGCATTTGTCACTAGTTATGACTCTTTTAAGCAAATCTCGATCACCGTTGGCGTCATTCAGCAATTCATCTTCTCGACCTTCTGTGACAACCTTGTACCACCTGTACACATTTTCCTTAATCAGAGTACAATCACCGTATGCCACTGTCAACATTCCAAGTGTTTTTTGACCACTTAATTCCGTTTTTTCACAAAGTTTGATGCAAATTATTTGGCCCAACATACTTCTAACTTTCATGCCTTTCACCAACAAACTAAAGATGCTAAACAGCTGGAACTGTGAACATATGATCAAGAGGAGTGTGCCAACATTGAAAAATGAAAAAATCGAATGTATGCAGCCCGCGAAATTCAAACATTCACCTCATTTTTTGAAAAGTCCACGTACCTGTCCCGTAATTTTTCTATAAATGCCTTACGAGTCACGAAATTCGTTTTTCAGGTTTGAGCGATGAAGACAGAGAGCTCCTGGTGAACAATGTACACATAATAGTTCACACGGCGGCTTCTGTTAGATTCGACGACAGCTTGAAGTATGCCATCACTTTGAACGTGAGAGGAACGAGAGAAATCGTTCAACTAGCCACGGAAGTTAAGAATTTATCAGTATTCGTACACATTTCCACCACCTACTGCAACACCGACAGGAGCTTGATCGAGGAGAAAATCTACCCAGCTCATGCAGATTGGAGAGAAGCCATCGAAATCGCAGAAACAGTTGACGAAGAAATTCTGAACGCGATGGCTTGCAAGTACATTAGCCCTTTACCAAATACGTATACGTTTGCGAAATCTCTTAGTGAACACGTTGTGGAAGATATGTGCAAGGGCAGAATTCCCGCTATCATAATAAGGCCTTCAGTTGGTGAGTTTGATTATTTAATATGAGGTATTTTGTGCACAGTGTAGAGAAGGCTAGTTGAACAAAGAAGAGGGAGTTCGGATATCTAACGGTCCTCTCAGTTTTAGAGGATCTGCAGCAGTTTGATGTATTATAGACAGTGTTGCTCCATATCAGAGCGATAGAGAGCTTCTATTCATGTAACTGCTAGGTATTTCGTAACTCTACCCAATGTTCCAACGGCGCACAGAGCTAGATATTTGATACAATTGGATTATTGAATGGTTTGTCTCTTATATTGATATACAGTCGATTCCACCCTGTTCATTATAACAAAGTAAGTTTACTATCGGCTATTGGAAATTCACTTACAATGTTTCAACCATATCCGAACTAACTAACCGTAAAACTGTTTAAACATCACAACAGTAAAATCATTTACAAGCCAACTAATCAACTACGCAACACTATCAGGGTGACCAAGGACAAAAAAAAGCATCTGACATCCGCCGGTGTTCACAAGATTCCCTGTTCCTGTGGCTCAATTTACATCGGAACTACCAAACGCAGCATCAACACCAGGATACAAAAACACAAGATTAACTGCTGTCCTCTCTGATTCAATGCATTTCCACACACGGTTTGATAAGAAGGCCATCAAGATCTAACAGATATGAAGGAGATATATGGATCAACTGAACGTGATATCCAGTGCTCAAGAAGACCAGAAATCCCCTCAAAACTACAGACTTATAAGTCTGTTAGGCTCCAACGCCAAGGTCGTGGAGAGAGTAGTCCTGCAAAGGTTGAACGAGGAGATTGAAGACAGACAACTTCTACCGGACGAACAGTTCGGCTTCAGGAGATCCCACTCTTGTGAACTGCAAGCCTTTAGACTGGTTGAAAATTCAATACTAGAGATGCATAGTGAAAGACTTATTCAAATTTTACTATTAGACATCTCGAAAGCCTTCGACCGCGTTTGATGTAGGCTGGAGTGCCACAGGGTGCAGTCCTTTCACCCACGCTCTACAACTTCTATATCAGCGATCTCCCGTGAACTGACCATGTCAAGGTCTCTCTCTAGCTCATATGCAGACTGCAGTTGCAGCTCTTGGTTCCTGGACTGGAAAATCCAGTGTTAAAACCTATGATAATTTATGCCTCAGGAGTCTGGGGACATCCAGCAAAAACACACGTCGAAATTCTGGAACGGGTCCAGCATAAAATCCTAAGGATGGCAATGAACGCTCCGTGGTATGTACGGTACGCAAACATCAGACGGGATCTGAATCTTCCAAACATTCGGAGAGTATACAGTTTTCGAAACTGCGGAAACTCATGAGAAACCTCTAGTCAGAGCCGCGGTAGATTACGCTATCGACAACCCTTCAGGGATTTGAAATCCAACACGATAATAGAAGACAGGCTTTGGTGTTACCTTATTTGAGATATATCTTTCGTCCTTGCATTCAACTCACTTACCTCTGATTATCTGCCGCAGTAACAGTACTAGCTCGGATTTTGTGGAAGTCTATATTCTCATATTCTGTATCACCCTGATCACTATTTACTTTATAATGAAGCAGATATGTACTTAATGGAGATCGAGGAATTAAGTTCAGAAACAGCGTTTGACGGAGAATAGAGGAACACGAGGAACTCCATAGGATATATCAGCCATTGGGCTAGGACTCTTCCACAGCCACATTAAATTCTACCAATCAGATAGTCTCTAAAACATGCCATTACTTGTCCATTTATATCAGCATTTCTTAGTGTAGTTAGTAATAAAGGTTCAATGGCCTTGTTCCTATCAGTAAGTCTGTTCTCGTCGAACCTAGTTTATTGTGATCAAGAGAGTCTGCTTAGCTGGTCATGTGGGCCATGTTGGTCTTTTTAATCGTGGCTGTTTTGTAGATCTTTCCTAACCGATTCTCAATCTCTGGTCGCTGAGAATCTGTACTTTATTTCTAATGTATTTGGTTTTGTCTCTGCCTTCTCCACTCATTTCTTTCTGGATTTGTTGGCTGATTGTTGAGAACTTTCTATCTGTGTACTTCTTGCTCTAGTTTTTGGTTTGTTTTTTGTTCATCTACATGTTTTCATGTCACCTTATTCTTCTTTCACCAATTTCAAGAATTCAAAGGGTTATTCTGGATTTACTGAATCTACTTCAGGCTTCCCCTTCCTCACGTGGGTGTTCAATAAGTGTCATGCTTAACAAATTAACGGACGTATTCAAATGAATCCTGGCTTCTGTATTAAGGTGTGTCATTTCTCTTATCAATAAATATAGTTTCATCCTCGTGTTATAGAATATTAGATTTTATCAAGCAAAACAATAATCTATCGCTGTTATACATTTTATTGTTCTTTTATTTGTCTTCTAGGAAAATATTCCATGACAATTCGAAATAATATTATGAATAAAATTTACAAATCACTTAAAAAAAAAATCATTGTCATTGGTTTTACAGTTGTATCAACTCTTGAAGATCCTTTTCCAGGATGGAATGATAATTTCAATGGGCCGACGGGATTATTAGTAGCAGGAGGAAAGGGTGAGTATTTTAGAGCAACACTCTACTAAACAGTGCACTTTTCTACAATTTCTCATTCCTTCATATCACTCAGTATTCTTAGGAAAAAATCAAAATCATGTGTTTCTTTGAACTATGTCAGAAAATTGAAATGAAAAGTGGAAGAAGTTAAAGAATAACAATTTGTAATAGAAATGAATTTTATGTAGTTTATAATATTCCAATTATTAGATTTTCCTAACTATTACATAACGACACATTCTAGAATTAATTTAAGACACTAAAACGTAGGTACCTAGAACAGATATCTATGTATAAATAAGGATAGCTTTGTAAGTATGATTTGTTTAATTTTCCCCTTGAAGATGGTCATTTGGTAATCGAAACATGTGTCGAGGGGTTAAAATAACGGTTTGGTGTTGGGAAAAAATTCCAGTAATGTTCATTACTACACCAAAAGTTCCAAACAGTGCATCACAAAAAATTTCATAAATGTGCATATATGAAACTTACATTTTCGTGAATACTCCACATGATATTGTTGACACAAAAAATTAAACAAGGATTGCACCCTACATCATAGCGGCTCTAAGTCACATTATAAGTAAATCTCTTCAACAAGGATGATTTCCTTCGCGACTGAAACATTCTATAGTTTCTCCAATCCTGTAAAAAGGAATACATAATGCTGGAATTTCTACATAACTTTCTGAATATAAATAATATTCTAACTCCGAACCAACACGGATTTCGATAGAATCATTCCACTACAATGGCAATTATTTCTTTTTGTTCGAATCTTTTTATTCTGCTTCTATTGAAGTAGGCGAAAATCCCACTAGGATTTTTTGTAACCTCAACCGTGCCTTCAACTGCGTTCAACACGTAAACCTCCTGGACAAACTGTATTAAATGGTATTAGAGGTATTCAGCATGACTCTAGAGAGTTGACTTTTTACGGGTCATTTAAGTACTATCACTTATCTCCACTTTCCTATTTCCGCTTCACCGGTTTAGTTGGAGATGACCGTTTGGCAGCAGTTGGCCATTTTTCGCTTGATTATGGGTTCCCATATGTTGCGTATCTCTACGCTAGCTTGGCTGAATACATTGTTGGTTTCTTTGAATTTCCTCCTTAACCAATGTTCCTCCCATTGTATGACCTCAGCTTGGGACCACTCGATATTATGTTGATGGGTCCAAACATGCTTTGCACTTCCTGATTGGCTGGTTTCCCCTTGCTGTGTGCGTTTCTTGTGCTCGGCAGCAAAAATTCAATGACCTCTTAGTGACCGATATAGGATTTTCCGCACTCACAGGGCATCCGGCAAATGCAATTCTTGGAATCGCAGTCCGCGTTTGGTGGCCTGGTTTTCGTGGTTTTTGTACTTGGACACAATTCTTCTCATTCTTTCCGATAATCCTCTGATGTAAAGAAGTGCAAGCACAGGTTGTGACAGCTTCTCTTCCTTGCGAGGCTCCTGCGGTAGACAAAATCTGTTCCGCCATCGCTTTGGAGTAACCATTCCGTTGATGATGTATAGTTCCTTCTCGAAACCTTCCTTCGTATTACAGAGCCAGAAAGTACGGTCTAATAGTCTTGATGATTCCTCTTTTAGTCGATTGATGGTGGTTGGATTCGTGGTTCAGATACTGTCCCGTGTGGGTGGGTTTTAGGTCCTCTTCACCAATAAGTCTAAGAATGGCAATTCGTTGTGGACTTCCTTCTCCATTGTGAAAGTGATGGAAGGTCTGACGCTGTTGATGTGTTTCAGAGGCATCTAGTTCAGTGTTCCTATGGTTCAATATTATGAAGGTGTCGTTAACGTATGTCAACCAAACACAAGGTCTCTTATGGGCTTTTTCAATGGTCAGAGTTTCAAACCACTCCATATATATGTTGGCTATGATTGGTGAAAGTGGCGGTCCCATTGGCAGTCCCTCATCTTGTATAAAGGATTCGTCTTTCAGATGGAAATAACAGTTTCGTACACAGCATCCTAGTAATTAGGCTTAACTTTTGTGAAAATCCAGCGTCATTTATTCACTTGCTTTCAGTAAAAGCTGATGAATGAAGTTTCAGGTTTCCGTTGATCCCATGAATGGCGTATTTGAAATGAGATCCATTCTGCTGTTTTCATTCATAAAGTTTTTGAATAGGGAAGCTGAATTCAAAACAGCCTTATACTACTGGCGAGGTCCACAGTTAATTAAAAAATAGCCGATGGTTGATGAATGCAAAGGTGTTGTGCTCTGATTTTGAAATCATTTCAAAAATATATCCTGGAAATTCTACGATACTTAAATTGTTTTCAATTTAGGAGTATTGCGAACTGTGCTGGGACATCCAAAATCCGTTCAAGACTTTATTCCTGCTGATCTTGTAGTAAAGCTGATGTTGGTGGCTACTTGGCAAAAAGCCCAATTCGGGTAAGATGATCCCTTGTTAAGATTCAGCCCCTTAAAGGGGGTACATAAAATTTGTATAACAATTTTTTTCACAAGCACTGAAAAAGTTACAATATTGAAATTAACTTGACGTTTTGTACTACCAAAAAGACACTTAGCCAGAAAATGTCTCTTGGGTTTTTTGCCCAGAATAAATCAGTTCGCAGCAAAAAATTATTTTACGAACAACTACAGAGATACATCGTCATAAATGCGAACTGGATTTATTGTTATTTTGTAGTTAGTACCTGCATTAAACGATTAAAGGGTAATAAACAAAACTAATTTATTAATAACAAAACACACAACATGTAGAAATCATAGTAAATGTTCAATATGTCTACCTTCACACATTACGCATGCTTCTAGATGTCGGCGCATTGAGCCACGTATTCGCTCAAATATTTCTGGAGTCTCTCTGATTACCCTGCATGCATCGATGATGCGGTTTCTTAAGTCCTCTACATCGCGAACAGGAGTACGATAAACCAAATGCTGTTAATGGCCCCAAATAGAGAAATCGAGATGATTGAGATCCGGGGATCGAGCGGGCCAGTTCTGTGGTCCTCCTCGACCTATCCACTGATTTGCATATGTTTCAGTTAAATGCTGACGTGCTACTTAACTAAAATGGGCGGGAGCCCCATTATGCATAAGAAACATATCCCTTCTGACGGCCAAAGGAACTTCCGCCAGCAGTACTGGATGAACTTCTCTTAAAAATTGAACGTATGCCTTACCATTTAATCGAGGAGGTAGAAAATGAGGCCCAATTGAGTCATCCCCAATAACTCCGAGCTACACGTTAAGAGAAAACTGTTCTTGATGGTTAGTTTCGACAATAGCGTGAGGGTTTTAATCAGCCCATATGTGGAAATTATGAAAATTAATAATCTTGTCCAAAAAAAAACTACATTCGTCTGTGAATTCTATCTTCTTCAGAAAGTCACAATTTCTTCTGATCATTTCCAGCATCCAATTGCAAAATTCAAGACCGTTCGGAAAGTCTCGCGATAACAGTGCCTGTACTCGTTGCAGATGGTGAGGGTATAAGTGTTGTTCCTTTAAAATTCGAAATACCGTCATATGATCAACATTTAGCTGGAAAGCAATCTTTCTAGTAGTGGTAGTAGGTTTTTCTTCTATCAAATTAAGTACTGCTTCCTCAAGCTGTGGTGTTCGTACTTCTCGATGGCGACCACAATCCTGCGTTCTTTTGTTGAATGAACTATATTCTCGTAATCGTTGATGAAGTCGAGCAAATATTCTATGTGAAGGATGCTGCCGTTGAGGATACATTTCAGCATATCTTCTAGAAGCTTCTAACCCATTCCCCTGCGACAGACCGTAAACGTAATGCATATCAGCCATTTCCTCATTTGTGTATGCCATTTCCATAAAAAGTGAATTATTAAAGTAACAAATTAAGAACAGAACAACAACACACAATTAGTATTAATTCAATTTCGAAAATTCACAAACTGACAGCGTCATACCAATTTAATTGTCGATATCGCTTATAGCGACCTACTAGATAGATTAGTTTCGTATTTTCGCATTTATGACGATGTATCTCTGTAGTTGTTCCAAAAATAATTGTTTGCTGCGAACTGGTTTATTTTGGGCAAATGAAACAGGCCATCGGAAATACATTTTTAAATGCAAACAAATAATAAGACAAAAAGTTACATTGGAAATGAATTTTAGGGGTTGCGTTTTCCACCCCTTACAACCATGGGGTAAACCAAATAAATTTCTAGCTAAGTGTCTTTTTGGTAGTACAAAACGTTCGGTTAATTTCAATATTGTAACTTTTTTAGTGCTTGTGAAAAAAATTGTTATACAAATTTTATGTACCCCCTTTAAGGGGCTGTACCTTAACGAGGGATGCTCCAATGAAATTTCTTTATATGAAAGATCCTATCTTTTTTTCATTGAGGAATCAACTCCTTCAATGTTTTACACTTATTTAGTTACACCCTGTATTTCAGTGATAAAAACGAAATTGAAGTATACCATGGCAGTAAAAATGAATGCACTCCCATCAAAATAGGAGAAGTAGTGAAAATGGGAGCAGATCTAGTTCAGGATTCGCCATTTTCGCAGATATTATGGTATCCCAATTTCAGCATGACGAGTTGTTGGTACAACTATTATATACAAGTTATTCTTTTCCACATAATACCGGCCATCTTTCTTGATTTGTTGTTGAGGCTGGCAGGAAAAAAACCAATGTGAGTATCATACAGTTTGATTTCTAATCGATTTCAGTAACACAAACATTATGCTATCAACGCTATGTCATATCTGAGATACCTATTGTAACGAATCTGAAGTCTGAAATATTGTTATAAATAAATTTGTTCATGACATTCAACAAACTACTCCTTAGAAACCACAACTTGTTTGACCACATTCCCAGTTGTGGTGATGTGAAAAATAATCAACATTCAGATCCGTTATCTTATACTTTTCTTCATAGCATAAGTGCATCATTTATGGGATTCACATCATCACCTACTGAATCGTGAAATTAAATGTCTGTGCTGGACGTCCTAGTGGAGGGAGATGTCAATAACCTCCATCCACAAAGAAGATACGTGAATGCCATGAGGTATCGCTGGACTTCTTTTCGTAATGTATTCGTTAATTGTAGAAAGTAATGCAATGTTAGAGAGTTTATCAAATTATCAAGTAAGGAGCATTTTATCCACGCCGGTATCCAGGCCGGGTGGTTCGCATTACCACGTGAAATGAAAATGGCAAAGGTCTACCGAAAAAAGGCAAATCTATAGAAACAGAAGTGTTTTTTACATTAGAGAAATATAGGAAAAAAAAATTGAAGGTGGACCACAGCGCTCTTCAACGAAACTCCTGTCAATTGTTGACAGCAAGAGCCTGACTAAATGCCTCCGAGTGGGAAGCAACAGCAATTGAATAATAGAGAGAGAGAGAGAAAGAGAGACTGATAATCATTGATACTGCATTTTTTTGGACTCGAGCCTCTATAAAACTTGTGAAATGATTGTAATCTGATACCTTGCATCCTTTGGAGTGTGAAAAATGTCAGCCTTATATACATCAAATTTGATAGCTCAATTACAAGTATGAGTACAATTCAAAAACAGATTTAATCTCCCACTCATCAGCCATAACTACCAAACTCGTCTGAAACAGAATAATTCTCTGAAAATGAAACCAGCCAGAACGAGAATAGGACAGAGAAATCATACTTTTTTATCTAGTAAATTTTATAACTTTTTGCCGACGGAAAACAAAGAAGTCTCAAACATATATTTCTTCAAAAAAAATACTAAACATTATATTCTTTCTTTACAACGTAAGGTTGTTCATTCATATTAGAATATTCAATATATTTTATTCTTGTTGATTATTTGTGTTCAATAATTGTATGTAAGGCTCGTTAGCCTAATTTTATTACATTTACTATAATTTTATTATGTTACAACATTTTAGTGAATCATACATAATTTTATACATATAATTCTTATATAGAAATGCAACTGAACCCGATTTTAAAGTGTACTAATTATTGTCAATGTTTGGAATAAGTAAATCACCCACGCACAGGCACTGCCTTAGTGGATACTTGTTTATTCGAAATATCTCTGAATGAAAGTGTACAATTATTATATTATTGTATTTCATTTTGAGAAACTTATTATTATTTTGAGAATAAACTTATTATTATTATTATTATTTAGAAAACCACTCCTGAAAGGATCAAATCGAAACAGGGCAGATGCCATCATTGAATAAATGTTTACATTCTGCAATTAGCAGCTGTCGCGACTTCATTCACGACGACGAATGTTTGACGTGATTTTTATCATTAACAGACCTTTTTTGTGGAATTACTTCATTGTTATTATTGAAACACCCTTTTCTCTATGAAGTTCTATAAGTGCATGACTAATCACAAACTCAAAATCAATTTCAGACTCCGAGAAATAATATTAATAATGTGTTTCAGGGTACCTGTTTGTTTTTTTTTCAAGTGTTACATTGAAAAACAGCAGAATTGAATCAATATTAGAGCTTTCAGAAGTTGAATGTTTTAGCTTGTATTGAGGTTACCCTGAATCATAATATTTTTCAGGATAGTCAAGATCCAGCGGAAAATTTACATAGCCAACGTGATTTTGGAATATTTCTTAAAGCACTCCTGGAAATTCGACAACAAGAAATCATTTTCCTTAATCAACAAGCTTCAGAAAGAAGACAAAGAAACCTTTGGATTGTCTGAGAACATCCTCAGTTGGAGTAATTCTCAAATTTTCGAGTTTTTTAAAAAAGGAAAGATAGGAGCAGCCATGTATATTTTGAAAGAAGATTTTGACCATACAAGAAAGGAATCCAGAAAAAATCTTTACAGGTAGAGTTAGAATTCAAACAAGTTGGTATTGTACATAGTTGTTTTAGACAAGAAGTGATGAGATATTTGAAGATGTGTTAATTTTTAGTTTCAGTTGAAATAGCTTGCAGTCTTTGTCAGTTTCATTTTCAGTGTGTCATTCCTTTCAGTTTGAGGGCTGGTATGTGTTTGAGTTTGGTCTAAAATAACTGCCTTCATTAAAAAAAAATATTTTAACAAAAATAAGTCTGAATTCTCATTCACTTTTGTCATTTTCTCAATAGAAATTGAAAGCCTTTTTGGTAATAAATTTTTGTTCAAATTATATAATTATTACTGATTTATTATACGTATTTGTTTCCTTCATTTTTTCTATTACATTTCTTATAGTATTGCTTTTCCATCATCTCTACTATCTTGAATCAACTAGGTTATTTTTTATTGACGTTTTTGTCTGCTTTCGATCTTTTCGGTTGGTTCTGTGATCAACACTTTTTGAGAAATGAAATATTTACAAAAATACAATAATTGTTTTCGTTTTACAGGCTTTGGATTCTCGACAGGATAACGAAGGTCATCTTCTACGGCTTTGTTCTTTATCTTTTTACAACGAACTACCACGTATTGAAATATTATTACAATAGACTGGAGAATTATATCACAAATCTTTAGTTTTCAAAAACATTTTGTACTGTTGCAAATTTTCATATAATAAACTATCTGAAAATGAACATATTGTTTAGCTGCCTAATTTACAAGTGACAAATTTCTTCTTCCGGAATTTTAAAATCATTCAGTTCACTTGATAGAAATTTTAAATTGAAAAACAGTGCGCTTTGTTTCATCTCTCTAAATGCCGTAGTTTTCCCGTAATTAATTATTAAAAATCGAATGTGGTAGGGTGATGACGTAACGCCCTTATTCCCGCTTCTTGTTCGATTGACCAATAGGAACAATAGAAATAATCAAGATTGTCAAATCATAAAATTTAAGAAGCCTATAATTATCAAATTTAATTATGGAAGTGTATATGAACCCGTTAACGTTTCAATTAATGAAAAATTCTCCACATGGAATAAAATGTACGTGAAAAATCATGTTTGCAAATAAGTTCTATATAAAAAATCAGTACACAAAGTTGATAGATCACAAAATATTTACCTGAACTATGATTTCATGCATTATTTAATGATATACAGTTATAAAAATCAAAAAATATAGCAAACTAGATTAAAGAGTCATTTCAGCTTCTGAGGTGATAATACCATTAATCATATGATAACATTTAATTAATTTTGTTCATATTTTCAGTAACAGGATTAACTCCAGATAATACTTTCTGTGGAGAATGCTCGAAGTTGAAATAAAAAACTCTGTCATCAAATTCAATATTTTCCTTTCTCTTTCATTAGTAGTCACTTTTCAAATGATGTCTATAAAGTCTTGGAAGATTAGAAGAATTGCAGTTCTTTTTTTTAATACTTTCACCCATTTTTATTTCTCATCATTTCATCCTTTGGGAACCTAAACTAATTTTTTGCTGCGAACTGGTTTATTTTGGGCAAAAAACCCAAGATACATTTTTTGTTTAGAATGGAACAGGCTATCGGAAATGAATTTTCAAATGGTAAACAAATGATAAGACAAAAAGTTACATTGGAAATAAATTTTAGGAGTTGCGTTTTCCACCCCTTACAACCATGGGGTAAACCAAATAAATTACTGGCTAAGTGTCTTTTTGGTAGTACAAAACGTCAGGTTGATTTCAATATTGCAACTTTTTTAGTGCTTGTGAAAAAAATGGTTATACAAATTTTATGTACCCCCTTTAAGGGGCTGTATCTTAACAAGGGATGCTCCAGTGAAATTTCTTTATATGAAAGATCCTATCTTTTTTTCGGTGAGGAATCACTTCCTCGAATGTTTTACACTTATTCAGTAACAGCTTGTATTGTAGATATGCAATAAGGAAGGATTTTTAAATATTCCAACTGGGATATCAGCCGCGGAAAAAGGAGCGTCCATAAAACGGAATTGTCTTTTCGTCACGGGACGGCTCGCTATTTTCATTAAATTTCGGAAGTACTTTTGAATCTTCTTAAAAAAAAAACAATTTCCAGCGGAACAACGGTATCGATGTTGAAATTAAAATATGAATCTCTGAGCATGGCTTCATTCAAAACTCTCAATGTCGATAGCATCCCCTTTCATCCCCACTCACCAATTCGTTACTTGATGGAAATCCATTATAGATTGTTCGATTATTTCCGATGCTCAATACCTCGATGGCGGTTGAGGATTGGAAAATTCCGTACCTCATGTTAAATTCAGAGAGAAATCTTTTCTGGTCGGAAAACGTCTCGAACCCCGTCTCTTTCAGATGGGATGGCATCCTGGAATGCCGCTTATGCCAATAATGGCAGATTGCGGGAACTTCTGGAATGTCCTCGGTTGGTATTCTGGGGATTTCGCGAAAGAGAATATTTAATGGGCAGCCTGTGTCTGTGAATCAAAGTTTTATCTGTATTAGCTTATAATTCGCAGAAAGATTAGGAAATGAATAAAATGTAATTGCTCTTTTGCTGCTGCTGAACTGGATTTTGTAGTTGGGTGAAAATCGCGTTTCATAGAGTTAGTTATTGATAAAGTAGACCATAGAAACCTTCACTTTTTTAGGCGAGAATATCCTCCATTTCCCATTTCTTCAAAACTAGTGATATGCGTATTATGCGTATTATGCGTATTATGCGAACAGATAGACTAATTTTGCTGATCTCGAATGTATAAAAAATCTATGAGAAACTTTTGAAACAGAGAATCACCACATTTCTGGAAACATATGAAATGTTGTCGGATAAGCAATTCGGGTTCAGAGAGAAGATGACGACAGAAATGCCATTAATCTGTTAACAACTCAAATAAGTCGAGCTGTAGATGATAACCAACCTGCTTTTTGCATTCTGGCTGATCTTAAAAAGACATTCGATACTTATAATCCGGTCAAATAGACCAAAAAATATGAGTAAAGCTACCTAAATTTCCACCAAGCTGAAAGTCAGTAAGATTGTTTGAAATTTGATCAAAAATGAAATTTGAAAGTTCCCCATCTTTCCCCTGCATGGAAAAAAATGTATTCAAGATCAAAGGTCAAAAAATGAATTGAATTTTTCGCGATTTTCAGCAAAACGGTGAGTTTCATCATAAAAATACTTCAGACAAAAATTGTAGATCATAAAATTATCTACAAAAAAAGTATTGATTCTTTTTTCCTACGATCCATCGTTTTTGAGATATAACGATTCAAAAAGTTGTAAAAGTTGTAATCGTCATAATATGCATATACATCATACATGTATATACATCTCTGTAGTTGAAATATATGTTAAAATATTTTTCTATCGGTCATTGTAATTTACAATTATAATATAAAATATACATAAGTTATAACTATATGAATATCAGGTAAAATGGCATCTGCATTTTACAGGGGAAGTAAAATAACATTTTTCAAAATGTTTCACTACCGGCATTCGCTTTCTTCTTTGTATGTACAGAGCTTCTAAAATACTACTTGTTGAAATAAGTATAGGTATGCAAGTTTCGTTAAAAATACCAAAAGTAAAAAACAAGTACAATCACCTTGTCTTCCTCCAACCTCAGTTGCTGTTAATCAAAATCTTTTTCGGGTATATTACCAAGTTTAAATGTGGCTTGGTGATCAGCTAGACCCTACATACTGGGGTTGGAAATTGATCAACAGTTCATTAGAACCAGTCAAAACTTCACTTCCACCTACGCCGGAAAAACTGCTGTGCAGTGATAAATGTGGTTGCAAAAAAGCCGGACTGTCAAGGACGGTCCTGCTTTAGTATTGAATCACCAACAGTGAAGGATCTGTATGATTTCAACGAGGCGACATGCCATACATCGCTATTAACGCAATTTACATGTATTCAGGATGAAGATGAAGGAGAACAAGAAGAAGAAGAACAAGGCGAACAAAAAGATCAAAAGAAGAAGAACAAAAAGAGGAATTTGAAAGTTACGACTTGGACTATTAAATTTCACTTCTTTTTTTTTACTTAAATTGCCTTTATCTTTTCAATTTCTGCTAATATCCATTATTTTGCAATAGTTTCAAATTAAACAGGACCACAACTGACCCGTGGAATAGGCCTACTGGGAAAACCACGTTGAATAAACGCGCTCATAGGTGGCGTAGAAACGTGTGCATATTATGACTATTACAACTTTTGCAACTTTTTGAATAGTTATATTTCAAAAACGGTGGCTCGTAGGAAAAAAAGTTTGATATATTTTTTTGTACACAATTTCATGACCTACAATTTTTGTCTGTAGTATTTTTATGATAAAACTAACCGTTTTGCCGAAAATGTCGAAAAACAAATTTTTTTGACCTTTGACCTTGAATAAAATTTTTTCCATACTGGGGAAGGATGGGGAACTTCCAAATTTTATTTTTTATCATATTTTAAACGATCATACTGACTTTCAGCTTGGTGTGAATTTAGGTAGCTTCGAATGTCTAAATTGACCGGACTATTAATACTGACTACTTTGGAGGATACAAGTTTCAGAGACATTGCTTTCCAGTTATCCAAGAGTTACCTAAGTAACCGTTAACAATGTATCAAAATTGAAGAGTGTCTAAGTCCTCCCGAATGATTGAATTTGGTGTTCCACAAGGTACCGTCTTCGGACCTATACTCCTCAATATATATTTGAACGACCTATTCAAATTAAATGCAGAAAGAAATGTGATGAGCTTTGCTGATGTCACAGCAGTATTCTACAAAACCGAAACTTGGGAATAATAGAAAAGTGAAGTAGAACGGGACTCTGGAACTATCCTTGAATGGTTTGGCAGTTACTGACACTTAATACAGATAAAAAATACTTCATTCCCTTCCCTTTTCACTCAAACAAACTGACGAAGTTGTTAGTATTGAAAAGGCATACTGTTGCAGATACTCAGATACCTAGATTGACATGGAACGTACAAATGAATCATGTAGTGAAGAAACTGAGAAGTATTCTATATAGGATGAAACACTATTCCAAAATATTCACCAAATGCCAAATGAAAATATTATATTATGCGCTGATCGAGTCACCTCAATTATATAGTCATTGCTTGTGGAGCAGCCAATAAAACGTTTTTCAAAAACCTGGAAGAGAAACAGAAAACGATACTCAAAGCAATTTTCAAAAAACCATATACTTTCCCAACTGGAAAACGTTTCAAATAATCAAGAATCTTAGATATTCGGCACGCAAACATAAATACAAAGCAAATTTACAAGCCATCAATCTGTTTAAAATCTGTTTTTCCGTTAACCAGCTGTCGCACCTCTACGAACGACAACCCTTAGAAGTCGAAACTTGTGCGAACTAAGGAGTAACGAGGTCTCACCTTTTAACGTGTGATTCCTAACCCAACCTAAACTAACCGTACCTAACACGGCATTTAGTTAGAATGAGAAACTTTTGCGATAATAACCTCTGTGAGGTATGTTGTATAATTATCTATCGGATATAATTCAATATCCAGCGTGGTATTGGCTGGGGAAGTTGTTGTTTTTTCTGCGGGCATTTATCAGAAACTACTGTGTAGGTAGTTGGGAAGGAAGAATATATCGGAATATTCATTTTCTTGTATGAATCATTGTTGTTGATGAGAAATTTTAGAGAGTTTTTTAATACATACATC